AATGTGGATCCCTGTCCTTTTCAAAATAGCATCTTTACTTGGTCTTAAAGCTTTGTCCGCATTTCTTTGTGAAGGATTTGACTGTGATTTCACCTAACATGAAAATCCACTCAGAAGTGATCTTTACACATATTAGCTTAGACTTAGCAAATACCTCATCCCCAAAGCCACAGAAATTGGCTGAGCTTAATTCCTTCCATATAAGCAGTTTTTATTTTGCATTACTAAAATTGTGAACATAGCTTTATAAAAACAGGTTTTTTTTTCTAGTATAGTTTGAAATTAAAGTTTAAGAAATGGTTTGAATCATTCCATTTATGTTAAGTATTTTTCTGTTACATGTCAGTCAAACTTAAGATTTAAAATACTTAATTTTCTAATTGAGGAAAACATCTTGATTTCACTACTTTATTCCAGTTTACTTTAAAATTATAAAAGGACTTCACTTTCAAAAATAAAACCATATTAAGTATTTTGCATTTTTATTTCAGTAGTGCTTGTGTTTCTTCCCTCTTTCAATTATACCACAAATGGCTGAAAATAGAGAGAGCGAGAGATCTAGTCTATGTATTTCGTAATGAAATAACTCATGCTAATATTCTGGCATGTTTCAACACTGATTTGCAATAACTATGCTGGGATTCTCCCATTTTTCTCGCTCATGTTTGGTGCCATGTCTTCCTTCTTGATCTTTCTGTCCACTACCAGATTTTACTTTAATCACAGTTAGCGTATTATCTTCCACTAAAGAGGAGAAGGAGAAAGCTTACCCTTGATCGTCTTTCTCTACTCTATAATTCGGTTTCTCTAAATCTATGAGCCCTTCGAAACAACTGGAGATGCTCTAATTGGTAAATTGTACAATGTAAAAGTGTACAGTTGCTAAAAACACAATGGAAATGGAAATGTTTGTAAGGATAAAAAATAAAATTTAGGAACGTAGCGAATTTGGTTTCTCTAAGGTTGGTTTTACTAGAAATTTTTAAAAGAATTCTGTTTAAATGTCTTGTTTTGAAAAATGTTTAAGTTCTATTAAATATCTGATGTAATACTACTTGTGTGATGACATACACCCAAAGTTGCAAATTAGATTAGCGGGTTTTTTACTTTGCCCAACGGTATATTTCACTCGTTTATGCTTTCGTATGGGATTTTCATCATTTGCAAGGTGAATTGCCAGTAACCACCACTTAGCCATTTATAAGAACTTTAGCATGAAAGTATTTTTCAAAAGCCAATTCAGGGTTGAATAACAGGGCCTTGGATAAGCTTCTTAGGGAGTTTGAAGTGCTTATCAGATAGTCATCTAAAAATATCCTGGCAGAGAAGGAACAAATAAGCCGATTGGTTCAAGTTGTTTTAACCAGGTAAACTTATTTGTGAGGTTAGGTCTTTTCTTAGAAAGAGGCTGTGGTACATACAGCTGTCTTTTAAGATGCCACCTTAGAAATGATTTTTTATTTTGGCAGCCTTTCTTTTTTGTTAACAAGGACATTTATATGGAAACAAGACTCTTTCCAGGTGTGGTGGCTCAAGCCTGTAATCCCAGCATTTTGGGAGGCTGAGACGGGTGGATCACCTGAGTCAGGAGTTCAAGACCAGCCTGGCCAACATGGTGAAACCCCGTCTTTACTAAAAATACAGAAAAAAAAAAAAGAAAGAAAGAAAACAAGACCCTTGTTTTTAAAGGTTCTGCTTCTTGTATTCTTTATTTGAATAGTATTCCTTAGTTCTGAAAATCACAGTCATCCCTGCAGCAACCAATTATGATGTTAGCAATGGATGGAACGCTTTCACCAGAGCAGGGGGTGCACAGAAAGCAGTGAATTCAATATGTGTATATCATATACATATCATATAGTCCAGGTTTTTTTGCATTCATTTTTAGAAATAAAGACCAAGTGATAGATAGGTTTGTTTTTTTGTATAGCAATTTATTCAGATGAGATTGCAATACAGTGATAAAGTATGCAGTGTTAAATTTTACAGAAAGATAATAGGTTCTGAGTTGTTGATTCCTGCAAGTTTAGAAGTTCTGTTTTAAAAAGTCCAGAATGCAGATGGTTCTGAAGAGCGTGCCTTCTGGAGCCAGATTGCCAAGTTTCCATCCCTGCTGCACCATGTGGGAACTTAGTCACTGTGCAACCACAGGCATGTTCTTGAGTGTCCCTTGGCTCATTTGTAAAACTGAGATGATTAAATAAATAGGATTATTGTGAACACTAAAAGGAATATATGTGGATTATCTAGAATAGTGCCTGCCACATAGTAACTGAATTGTAGCATTAGGTGTTTCTACAACTTTTCTTTGTTAATTTGTCAGCTTGGTTCAAAAAGTGTGGTATTATATCATTTTGAGATATGTATTTCCAATGTTTGGTAGATCTAATTTCTAACTATGGCTTGTATTAAATATACTGTTCCTTCATTGATATACTAACACATTGTTCTTTGATTCCAAATATGTATATAAAGAAACACAATTGGATATATACTTAAAAACCCTTTGTCTCTTAAATAAAATTGCTCTGACTGAGATCACTCAACTAAGTAGATGCCATCTAATACCAAAAGCTCTAAGTATAGTTTTCTACTTAGTTATCAAAATTATTTTTGTAATTAATACAAGTTAATACTACCCTACTTTTAGTTCGTATAATTTTCTTTAATTTATAAACATGATTTACAGTCTTTGAACACAAAAGCGCATGACTGTTGGTGATGTGTGACTTTCAGTATATGCTGAGCTGTGCCACACTTCTGAGTGGGGGCTGGTGGCTCACCATTTGTTCCCTGCGGCCCAAGTGGAGACAGTCATACCAAGGCCAGGAGCTCACAAGTGTTCAAAATGTCTCCTCTTCTCAGTGTTTGGATGAGAAATATGTTTAAGGGATCAAGATCCAATTCTTGGCAGGTATAATAGGTCTTCCATTTTCAGTCTTGTAGGGATGGAGGCAGGAAATTACCTTGATATTCAGATAGTCCTTGGCAGAGATCTGTGCTCTGGGCTGGTTGGCTGGGAGTTAGGAGATGAAGGGCATTCTTTGTTCCCTGAGGAGAAAAAGGTCTCTCTCTTTCTCTGTGGGAGAAAGAGGAACAGCACTGGATAAAAGAAAGTCATGGTGAAAGAGAAATAATGATAGAGATTGATCAACTTTGTCCTTGATGCAATTTTTCCCAAAGCCTTAACTTCAACTGCTAAGAATAATTTTACTTGGCTTTCCATACCCATCTTAAGTCGTGTGATCTGACTTAGACAAATTCTGACCTCTCTCTCGTTTAGGCTCATTGGTCCAGCCCAGTGTATGTCCAGCCACCTTTAGCCCTTGGTGAACAGTCTTCACAGAATTTGCCTGCTTTCAGAACTTCTGCAGTATCTTACATTCTGTCTGTAAATAGATCAGCCAAATTCATATCTAACTGAAAACATCATACAGTGCACATTGTAGAAAACAAGAATGAGTTTCTGTAACAACTGCTCACAGGATTGGTAGAGCATCATTGTGACTTTATAAAGCAATGTTTCAAGTAACAGTTTGGAAGATTTACACATTCCTTGTTAAACTCCACAAAGATCTTTGAAGGAAAAGCATTAGGAAAGAGCTCTGGAGAATATGTAGCCAAGGAATATCAAATACATTAGTGACTCAGACGGCCAATGGCTAGTTAGAAAATGAGCCCACCCCTGTATTGTTGCTTAGAACATCGTCACAATTGGTGGAAATGAAGAGATTCTGCAGCTCCTAAAAAAATATACTCGGGCTGTTTTATTGATTGCACTATGCATAAAAACTGCCAAAACAAGAGACAGCATTTTCCGTCCTGAGGAGTCAGCCTACGACAGGCAAAGAGAACGTATCTTTCCCATTCTTGTCACAAGAATTTTAAATCCAGTGGAAGAAATCTTAATTTCTTCTTTTCTAATGTATTTTTTGCTCTGTCTTATTAAGATGGTTCCTTTCACAATTTAGGTTTAGCTCCTTATACTCTAACCTCAGAAGTGAGGAGTGATTATTCTGCTCATATTAATTATGAAAAAAAATTTCGACTGAAGTCCCATAGGACTAACATCTGTAATACAAAAGCTGTCCTATAAACCAGTACAAAAAAGATAGGGAGTGTTTACATGAAATATAAATAACTGTTAAATATGTGGAAAGATGTTTAGTGTCCTAATGATAGAAATTAACGTTAAAACTACACTGTGTACAATTTTCCACCAATGAGACTGGCAAAGATCCAAAAGTTAGTCAAACACTGTATCAGTGCCCTGGGCTACAGGCTTTCTCATGACATTGCTAGTTAAGGTATAAACTGTACCCTGTACAGCGGGCAGTTCAGCTGTTTCTGTCAAAATTTCAAGTGAATATAACCTTGGAATTCCAATTTCAGGAATTTATCCTACAGATACACTTTCATATATGAGACATGGCATGTACATTGCATCATGGCTTGTAATTGCAAAAGACTACAAATCTGTCAGTGGTATGTTAAATAAGTTATAGTTCATCCACATAGTGGAACACTATACTGCCATAAAAATATGAAGTCCTGATGAACTTGTATGGAATATTATGCCATTAAGTACAAGATGCAGAGCAGTATGCATAGAATGTAGCATTGTGTGAAAAGGGCTGATCCAGCAGGCTACATGCAGAGATTCATGATTAGTTAAAAGTTTATGCCATATGTCGTAATGGTGGAAATCTGTTGCTCGAAAGCACCCTATCAGTAGATACCTGCCCTCTGTGTTCATTTGTCAAAATTGCCAACATCTAATAGTAATTCTCACTTAAAATCTTTATATTCTATACTTGGACAGAAGATTTTACACTGTCGAGTAGTCATGTAGTTTAACTTCCCTTGTTTGAAGTTTTTAAAAGATCAACATAATTCTTATTTTTACCTTTGTATGCCAGTGTATATCAAGTAAAGATTATTGTTTTTGTGAGAACATACAGAGTAAAACTTATATTTTTATTACTTCTTGTATGTTTCAGAGACAGACGTTTGCTTCAGCCTGCCCAGGTGTGTGACATTTTGAAGGGTGTCATTTTGGTCATCTGCTATTTTATGATGCACTATGTTGACTACTCCATGATGTACCACCTGATAAGGGGGCAGTCCGTCATCAAGCTCTACATCATATACAACATGCTGGAGGTAAGGACCTCGCTTACCCTGCACAGGCCTGGCCAGGGCACTCAGCTTCAAGTCTTCCAATTCTGAAGGTACCTGAGAGTCAAGAATGCTCTACCGACTCTAGTTGTGGTGCTTCTGGCCTTTACTGTGCTATCATCACTTGGGGGGCTCTTGTTAAACATGGATTCTTATTTAGGAGATCTGGGCTGGGTCTGGAGAATCTGCATTTCTCAGGCGGTGGGGTTCATGCTGCTGGTCTGGGGCACACCTCTGGTGGCAAGCCCGCAGGCATGGTGTGTCCTCACGTAGGCTGGGAAGAGTCTTGCTGTCCAGACATTTTAGAACCAGTACCCCCTTGAGTATCCAAATTGTCAAGTGCTAGGAAAATTAGTTTCACAACTTCATTAGAAACCCATGCTAGAACTTTAAATTATGAGTTAAATGTTATGATTATGTGTATGTTTGCTATAAGAAATACACATTTTAAATTGCACATTTAAATTCAAATCTTTACATAGGGCAAATAAATATAAGTTCCCTATTTTTGTAAGTACTTAATGTTTTTAGTACAATACGTCTCACTTTAAAGCATTCAGCGTATGAAAATCTACATTTATGTAAAAAATAAGTTGAGCTGACATATATTCACTTTGCAAAAAACTGCTTTGCTTTATAAGCCAAATATTCATAAGTTTTTAAAATAGTAAGCTACCTAAGTTATATAATAAACTTTGAAATTCAAATTGCAAGCTGGCACAGTGGCTCACACCTGTAATCCCAGCACTTGGGGAGGCTGAGGCGGGCAGATCACCTGAGGTTAGGAGTCCAAGACCAGACTGACCAACATGGTGAAACCCCGTCTCTACTAAAAATACAAAAATTAGCCATGCCTGGTGGCGCGTGCCTGTAATCCCAGCTACTCAGGAGGCTGAGGCAGGAGGGTCACATGAACCCTGGAGGTGGAGGTTGTGTAGTGAGCTGAAGTCATCCCACTGCACCCCAGTCTGGGTAACAGAGCGAGACTCCATCTCGGGATTGCATTTTTATATTTTATTTTTGGGGGGATACAAATAAGGTCTATTTATCTTTTTAATTAGCCATGAAGAGATTTTTCCTAGTGAGAGGACGGATGGGGTGGGGGCTGCTGGCCTTTTTGCTCTAAAGCTGCATTGCTGTGGTAGATAAGGACTCTCCATCTCTTCAAAGAAGCCTTGGAGCTCTAGCCTTCTGGTACCTCCTAAATTCAAGACCAAGATGTTTTAAAACCATACCCCAGCTTCCTGATTCTAGGCTTGCTGCATGTACACTTTGCCCCACCAAGTAGGTTGCCTCGGGGTGGATGGGGACAAAGTTCCTGAAACAGAATAGCTCATCTTGTTCTCCCTTCCTTCTCATAGAAAGAGCCTAGACCTCATTCGCTATTCCCCTCTGCTCTCTGCCTTGCTCTTGTCACCGCTGCCCTTCTAGTCTCTCCTTCGTAGGCTTTCCATCTTAGGAGATTGGAAAGTGCAAGGGTTTCTCCCTGTCCCCTGACTTACAAAGCCCTCTCAAGGTAGTAGTATTGTTACTAGAAAATAGGCCAAGAAAAAGGATCCATGAATTGCTGATGAAAATGATTTATATACGTATTCGCATTGTAGACCATAATTGATGAGGTGGCTTAAACACAGTGGATGAGAGTCCATGCTCTGGTCTAGAGGCAAACCGCCTCTGACCAAATCCTAGTCCTTCCTTTATTACCTGGTTATCCTGGACATAGTTACTGTTGCTGAATATCTCTAATCCTCAGTTTCTCATCTGTAAAGTGGAGACACTAGGGAGATTATGAGGATTAAATAGACCCCACATAGAAACGGTTTAGCACAATATCAGGCCCATGGTAGGAGCTCCCTAAATGGTAGCTGTTATTCATTCAGCAGATCTTTAGTTGGCACTTGCTGCATGCCAAGCATCTTAGACCCTGAATACTCACAGGTGAACCAGCCTATTCTCATGGAGCTTATATTCTACAGGTGAGAGATGGACAATAAACAAGGAGATATTAGGAAATGATATATTGTATGATGAAAAAGAACAGACTAACGCAGTAGAGACCATAGGAGCCACAAGAGATTGGGTGGTCTGGAAAAGGCCTCCGTTAGGATGTGGCATTCAAACTGAATCCTGAATATCATGCCCTCCTTTTCTCCGTTTTATGTGTCACTTTTTACTTTACACTTTTATGTGTCACTTTACTCACCTTTTCTCCGTTTTATGTGTCACTTTTTATACTGTATTCAAGGAGATTGATACCGGAAAATATGTTTAGGAAGTAAATCTGCATATTTTATTCCATATAATAAACCTCAAAAAAATACAGTTACCATTGTTTGCAAATATTAGATATGAGTAGGTCAAATTATATATTTGTCCTAAATTTGAATCCTGAGTTTGAATTTAAAGTGCTAAAACCAGAGGAACCATGTTTTTGATGTGCCCACCCCCCGCCCTTTTTTTTTTAAATTTGTTGTTGTTGTTGTTGTTGAGACGGAGCCTCACTTTGTCACCCAGGCTGGAGTGCAGTGGCGCAATCTTGGCTCACTGCAAGCTCCGCCTCTCGGGTTCAGGCCATTCTCCTGCCTCAGCCTCCTGAGTAGCTGGGACTGCAGGCGCCCGCCACCAAGCCCGCCTAATTTTTTGTATTTTTAGTAGAGACAGCTTTTCACTGTGTTAGCCAGGGTGGTCTCAATCTCCTGACCTCATGATCCACCCGCCTCAGCCTCCCAAAGTGCTGGGATTACAGGCGTGAGCTACCGTGCCTGGCCAGATGTGCCTACCCCTTTTATTTTTGCCACTGTTTAAGACTTTCTTTGTTACAAACATAGCTAATTAGACAGTCTGATTGAAATTCTGTACATATTTTAGCACTTACTATTTGTTAAAGAATAAAGAAATGTGAGTGAATAAGTAAACAAACATCTTCACTCTTCTTTAGCTTGCCTTCTACTAGGATTTTAAATCCTAGTAGATCTCCAGGATTTGAGCTATATCTCAATTTTAATGACATATTTAAGTGGAATATTAAGAAACATCTTACAAGTCATTTTTCTTTTTTAGGTAGCTGATCGTCTGTTTTCATCTTTTGGACAAGATATATTAGATGCTCTCTATTGGACAGCAACAGAACCTAAAGAAAGAAAAAGAGCCCACATTGGGGTGATTCCTCACTTTTTCATGGCTGTTCTCTATGTCTGTATCCTTATAGACTTACTGGAAATTTCCAACAGTTAATGCATAGTCTACCTTATTTTATTTGGTTAGCCATTTCATAGATTTAAAGACATATAGATAATGTATGTATCCTGAAGATTAATGTGAAATATCTGTGTTCTGTTGAGAAATTGTTTGTCATAATAATTGTAATTAATTTAAGGAGCCTCATGTATGCATTATTCTTTGAGCTGCTGGAAAACAGTTCCATTTGCAGTGTAACTGATTATAAGGAAGAATTTTATAATAAAAAGGCAGCGTATTTTTATACATACATTATTTACATAGATCTATATAATTTTTCATACTTATATTAGAATTTTTCTTGAAGTTATCTTTAAATCCAGGAATTCTTTTTTATAACCTTGGGCTTAAAATGCATAGAATTTATCTAAAAGTAAAATGTGAAATTGGTTGGGAGGAGTTTTGGTGGTTTTGTGTATTTGTGTATTCATCCCTGGCTTAAAGCTTTTCTATTGGAGAGTAAATGCTTTATTATATAAGCAGTGTACGTGTTTGTGTGTACCCCTACATATTTATAACACACGTTCCTGCTTTTAAGTTCCATGTGAAGTCAGGACTCATTCACAAGAATGTGTCACTTTTTTTTTTTCCTATCTCTGTAAGAGTGACACTTGAAAGAAATTGGGTTAATACTTGGAAAGTTAAAGAACCAAGTGGGAAGATACCTGTGAGGGTAGAAGCTTGTTCCAGTTTTAATGGAGTAAAGCAGTTACCACTCTTAGATATAAATTAACTATTCTGTATGTAATACAAATGTAATTCTGCAGTTTATGGATATATTCAAAATGACATATGAAGAAGAATCTTAATTATCAGATATTTCTTACTGCCTTACATTCCACATTTCCTGAAGAATCATGGAAGAAAATCACTTCCAGACTTATAGTTTGTGCTTTCTTTTTTACATTGCAAATTATCTTAATTCAGAATGTGTATTTCTTAGTCTCTTCTTTCAGTATTTACCATAATTTATTCCATTTACTTAACAAACTTTTCTGAGGGCCTATTTCCTGAGCACTGTGCCATGTGCCAGAGATACAGAAAGAACAAAACAACCCTGTTCCAAAGGATTCATGGTCTAAATAAATGAATATGTAGAGGTACATTTCCACTTTTGTTCATTTCATGTGGCTATCCTGTCAAATTTTTATCAACTATAGCTAATAGGGAAATTATGAAGATAATACAATACTTACGTAGACGCGATTTTAGAAAAGAAAGTCATCTTCTTTCTTTATTATTCACTTTCAAAATTTTGTAGTATTATCAGTAACAATATGAAAGCAAATTTAAGTTTTTTCCTTGACCTTCTATTAGTTTTGCATGCAATTCTTATAATGGTTCAAGCAACAACTCTCAATGTAGCTTTTAACTCACACAACAAGTCTTTGCTTACTATCATGATGTCTAATAATGTAAGTATGAGATTTATCTTACATTTTTGAAGTTATACGGGCATTTCAGCTGCAATACTCTGGGTGGGATAAAATTCTTTGTTCTATATGTTGTTCTCCCGGAAGTTTTATAGGAAGCAAGTCCAGTTTTTAAACTATTATAATCATAAAGATATTTCTGTTTACTGTTTCAGTTTGTTGAAATTAAAGGAAGTGTTTTCAAGAAGTTTGAAAAGAACAATCTCTTTCAAATGTCAAATAGTGGTATGTACGATTAGATTCTACTTGAAGTTCTGTGCGGTATTTTGCAGTTCATTCTGAAATCCTAATGGCACATTTTCTCTGGGCCACTGTTTCTTCAACTTAAACTGTACCTTCTCTTATGCTATCAACATCTTTACTAGGTTTTCTTATCTTTGGTTACTGTAATCACAAGATGTTTGAGATGAAAAATTAGAAACATTTGTGTAGCACCATACGATACTTTGAGAAGCTTCTTAATAATCTAGAAATTTCTCTGAAGTGGGTGGTATTATTCCATTTTATAGATGTGAAAACTGAAACACAGAGAAAATGATTTGACTTCTCCACAGTCACATAGCTTCTAGGAGAATTATGACTGTGAATCTCAGAATGTCTCTAAGTCCTTAGCTTTTTTAGTTATTATTTACTGCCTTCATTCTAATCCTAAAAAGTGTGAAGGGACAAAATTTTTTGCCTGGAGTGGGCGTCTTACATAGTTTTTAAAAGCCAGAGCAGAACAGTGTAGTGGGTCATGGAGCCCTCAAGAACAGCCCCAGGGGCTCTACCAGGGAGTGTGCTCAGAGTCAAAAGTGTTTTCACAAGAATATGAAGACATTATTCATCTCTTCTGCCATGGTGACATTTGCACAAGTCATGAAAAAATGGTGGTGTTTTAGCATGAATCCAGACAGATGTACAATAGAGAGGATCCCTAAAGGAACCTGGCTTGATGTCCTTGAGGAAGGTGAGGCGTGTCACGGGGGAGGCGTGTGGGCTGGTTGTAGATAAGAGCACACATGGCTCATCCAAAGCAGTGCTTGTCAGAGTTTTTGCTTCTGGGACCCTTTTACATGCTTCAAAAAGTATGATGATCAGCTGGGCGCAGTGGCTCACACCTGTAATCCCAGCACGTTGGGAGACTGAGGCTGGTGGATCACCTGAGGTCAGGAATTCAAGACCAGCCTGGCCAACATGGTAAAACCCCGTCTCTACTAAAAATACCAGAATTAGCTGGGCATGGTGGCAGGTGCCGGTCACTCTGTAGCTGTAATCCTAGCTATGGACTCTACTCTGTAGCTGTAATCTAGCTACAGAGGGGAGACTGAGGCAGGAGAATTGCTTGAACCTGGGAGGCAGAGGTTGCAGTGAGCCGAGATCGCACCAGAGCACTCCAGCCTGGGTGACTAGAGCGAAACTCCATCTCAAAAAAAAAAAAAAGTATGATGATCCCAAAGGACTTTTATTTATATGGATTATGTCTCTCGCTATTTACCATATTTGAAATTAAAACTGGGAAGTTTTAATAAAAATATTACATGCTTACAAAAATAACATTTCAATAAAAAAGATATTTTCTAAAACAAATTAAAATTTAGTGAGAAGAGTTGCTCAACAAGTAATGCTGGAATAGTTGGATAAAGGTTAAAAAAAAGAACTTTGGCTCCTCCCCTGCCCAAGAAAATTAATTCATTGTGGTTCATAACCCTAAACATAAATGCTAAAATTATAAAACTTTTAGAACAAAATATAGGAGAA